ATATTCATCAGAATCGGTTTGTTAGTTCCACACTGCAGGACCGGATGAATGACGTCGTAGCCAAACTGAGGGCACAAAAAATTTTCCTTAAAGGTGTCTGGAACTTTTTTAAAATTCGATTATGCTCCTTTACTAGATTTATAAATATTTTTGCTTAACGGCATTGGCAAATGTCTATAAAATGCTTAAGTGCGTATTCGTACATTTTTCACTGTGTAGCATCGGAGGGCAGCCTTTGCCGTTTTCTTCTACTTTAAGGCAGAATTTGATTCACTGTATCGTCCGACAGTGTCCTTATACACATTTTAAAAATGATGTTTTGAGAGGTTTTTGAATGGTTTCCTATTAAATGTATAGTTAGCGAAAGTGATGTGGTTTTTCCGTTGCTGTTCAGCGTTGTTCTTGACTTTCCTGATAAAATGCTGTCCCTGGCCAAGACGCAGCCCTGGTTCTAGAGGGAAGAAGCAGTTCAAGATTTTCGGTTTGATATCGTGCCTATATGGTATATGCAGGAGATATCGTGGGTTGTACAGGAAACTGGCACAGCTGCAAAAGCTGCCCTTTTTCTTAACGTCCTGAAATGGAATTTTTAACGAACCTATCCGGCAGAGCTGATCTACAGGTAAACATGGATATGAAGCATGAAGGTTGACAAATTTATATACCTCAAGCGATGACACTATCTAACCAGAATTAAACAGCATTGCTCTCACCTCCAGTGGTTCTGGTAACCTATCGTATATCTGAGCTGAGAAAAGAGTAGCCATTCGCTTAATAGTCCCTTGCTCTATGAGAGCAGTGCTGTTGTACGACATGGAGACAGTTGTGCTAACTAACGAGCAAGAACGACGGTTGGACTGCTTACAACAACGTTAGCTTCGACATAGAATAAGCGTTTAATGGTAGGACCACGTAATGAACGATTATATCCTATTCCGTGTATAATTGTGCGCAGTAGAAGTGTGGATTAATGCAATGAGATTGGCCCTGTTAAAAAAATTGATTTAATCTAAGCTATTTACTC